TGACTCTGACCTGTTGCAGGATCATCCCGGTCTCCAGCTGACTGCTGCTGTGCTGTTAAAAGATCATCAAATCTGGGAGCCTCTGCTGCTGCTGTGCATCTGCCACAATGCACTGATAACAGGACACGTCAAACCTGGGTGAGCAGGTGAGTGAGCTGCCCCTCCTCCTCACTGTTCCCCGTCTGCTTCCTGTCCCCTTTCTTAAAGTGTTCTGCAGCTTGTGCATGCGTTACATTTGGAGCCGAAGACTTCATTTGGATGCAAAAGTTCAGCTTCTAAAACATCATGAGTAGCACAGAGTTGGGTTGAAAGTGCCGTAAATAGCCTGAATTGTTTGGTGGGGAAGGTTTCAGTACAGTGAGTTTCACTGGCATTATGAATGCATGTGAATACTTGCACCTTGTAGTTTTGACTCACCTTGATTGTGCTCATTTCACATTTAAATGTAATAAAGGATTTTAAGAAACTTCAATGCCTAAATGATTTACTGCATTTAAATTAAACATTTCCAACTAATTGAAAGTCGGTTTTTCAATATTTAGGAAGCTGAGTGAGACTCACAGCAGCCAGACTCGTTATATCTCTTGTGCTGAAATATTACAGAGTTTTATTTTTATTAAATATTTATTGTTGTCATTCCCCCAAACTCTTTGGCAGAGAGTTGCACACAGACTACGTTGTCTGGGGGTTTAGGAGCAGCAGAACTCAAACTGATAGTGCAGCATGTGTTCAGCATCATGTTACTGATCCCAATCATCAAAATTTGATCAAGTCAGTTTAACAGCAGGCTTGTGGATACATCAGGTAATGTTTTCCTATCAAAACAATAAACAATGTGACAGATTACCAGTTGCCTGATTACTAACATTACTTATGCAACTGAGAGCTGCGTTACACATTTGCCAGTTTACAACATGAATACTCTCTCTGTGCTTTTATCTGTGTTCTGCTCAGGTTCAGGCGCATCAATAATTTGTGGCTTCAGATCAGCTCCTCACCTCAAATTACACTCACTAAGCCAAAGTTAAAATGGACGGGCTCCCCCACATCAAGCTTAACCACAAGCTGTAGAACCCAGCAGTGTTTATCTTCTAATGGCACCATTTATAAGGCAACTTTAACATTCACCTTTTATCACTCTTTCTTTGGACCAGTAAATTGACATTGACATGCTACAATGTGACGATTTTGTTTCTCTCATTGTCAGTAAAACCTGTTGAGTAAAATTGGCAGGACAACCTATATTCTGAGGAATTATTAACTATGGGACAGTATTCCCAAGATTCCAGTGCAATCTGAGCTCTGCAAAGTTAACGGCCAGTGGCTCATTCTTCTGCTTGAAGAGGAAACACCGAGAAAAACTGGAACCAGAAACCTTCTGGGTCGCTCTGATCTTTACATCTGTTTAAATGTTTTCAAATGTTTCACTCAGGTGGTTGATATGGCAATATGATTTATTGTTATTACACTTACTGTAACTCAGTGGCTCTCTAGTCAACAAAAAATTGGCTGAGCCATTTTTAAAGTGTCACTGTTCAGAACAGTACATGCTGTGATGCCCATAAGACTTTCAGACATTTCTCTGGTCACTCGAGTCTCAGAGAGACAGCAGTGTATGAACATGCTCAGGCCACGCCCCGCTGCAGCCGTCCCGGACTCCCTATCACTGATTTACTGTAAATAACAGAAATGCAGTAGAGCAGGCTTGAGCTTTGGTATAGCAAATTGTAATATGAGCAAAAGTTTGTCCATTTCATAAAATAATGTTTGGGTAGTGAGCACGTTGTTTCCAATGTGTTCCCTGGTGTTTCCTGGGTCTTTGCTTTTTGGCTTGTTCGGTTGAATTTCTGTTTTTGTTTTTCCTTGTTATTGTTGATTTTGTTATCCTATCGTGTACTTAACTTAACAGTTCTGCATCCCCCAGCTCTATTTGGGTATCTTCTGTGTGGTCCTGCATTCATCCTTTGGTCTGTTTGGGTTTCGTTGGCTTGTTCTCTGTTCTTAGTGTTTCTCTTTTGTTTTGTGTTTTGCTTCTTTTTCTAATGTTTTATCCCCCAAATCTCTTGCTGTGCAGTTCTCCATGTCCTTTGTCAAACTATCTGTAACTTTCCCTGTGTGTACTGCTATCCTGTGATTACTTGTGGACTATGGTTTTGTTTGTTTTCTGTATTGAGTGAGTTTAGGATTTAGTGTGACATCTGAAAGAAAGGTTAGTTTTACTGTCTGCCCTGAGACTGGGATTTGGGTCCACGTCTCTGCGAACCATAACAGCTAGAGTAGTTATGAGAATACATTAAATAAGTTCAATATTTATGATGTTACCAAGTCTTGCATTTTCTCACTTCTGTTAAAGGTCATAATTAAGACCTGAGACACTGACTTTTACTGATTTAAGACTTTGTAGTAATGTTTCTGCGATGTTGTCGATCACAGAAGCCAGTGAGGGCTCCACCGGTGGTCAAGTTGTGCAGCCTGAAATGGCAGTGCAAGTATTTTTTGACTGACGGCTGCCTTTGGGATGTAGCACTATGAATGCATTACACTGTCATCATTAACACTGACCTTATTGCAGAGTGCTGCCTGACACTGAGACACCTGACCATGGCAGGCGTCCAGGAGCCAGAGGTTATGATATGTTTATAATGAGGTGGAATTGTAAACTATTTCACAAATCATTATGTATCACAACTGTTGTACAAACTAAATCTATCAGTCTTATACTTTTTGTGTAGTCTCCACTGATAAATATTTCCCTGTTATTTCCTCTTTTGTCCTTTGTGTGTTGTACTCTGTTGTCACTGATTTTCACCTGTGCCTTGTTTCCCCAGCTGTGTCTTATCCCGTTGATTAACCCTCAGCATATATGAAGCACTGTCTA